ACACTAATGCTACTCAAGTGAGCTGCTTTAGACATTCTAACCCTAATGGGGATTCTGACCTAACTCTGACTTTTTGTCTATTTAATTGCTTCACCCCAAAAGCATTTTCCATTTTCCATCAGCTTCTATCCGGAAAAAGTTCCTGTCCCGTACTTTTTTTATCGTAAAAGGGTTAGAAGGAAACAAAATCAGAACAGTTGGGTTAGTGTACCCTTAGTGCTTCCTAAAAGGCTAATGGTAAATATTTTGTTCAGTGCCATAAAACAGCATATGTCATGCGTTGCTGTTTCACATTGATCTTGACAAGACAATTATTATTAATTTCCTTGAAAAATGATCGACACAGCTTTAAAACTACAACCATAACGGGGGTTTTGCTCTCGATGTGGTGCGACTCACTATGTGCTTCGACAACTCAGATGAGCTAATCGTAGCCGTGAAATCAACTGACATTTATGTCAAACAATAGCTGAGTAATTAATTATTTCTCCAATGGAAGAAATAATTCTCACAAAATTATCTGCTCGAAAATGTTACTGTCATAAAGTACTTCGATTTGTCTGAAGTAGAGCGCTAGGATAATATTGTCAAACAGATGTTTTACCCTTCAGAACAATATACTAGTGTCAGAAGCCAACCACATTCATGAACAATCAAACCACTTCAAAATTCGTCTAGGGCACGACAGAGCTTCCAAAGAGCAATAAAATCTAACTGTTTGTTAGAAGAAAACATTCACTCACCGGAGGTGGGGAAGGGTTCAAGTTTGTGCATTTCCATGCTCATCGGTCATTCCGTAGTTTACACATCCGGTATTCTTCAAAGCTGAATTTGCACTGTTCTCTAACTGTTGACGACGTTTGTAGAATATCCGGTTCATTGTTGTGGCATCTGCTCGGATTAGTTGTTTATCTGCGCGACTCAGCTGAGGCTCAGCCTAGTATTCAGATAGATCAAATAAAGTTTACTCAATCATTTATCTCGTATATGCATAGAGGTTATTGAGATAAACGAGGTCGATCTAAATTGAGTTGACCCGAACACTGGACAAAGAAGTGATCCAGATGCCGTTTCTCATGCGCATTGTTGCACATCCAAGATTCACCGGACATGTTTTGTGAGAATTTCCTAGACCAATCAGGTCCATGCAGCAAGCAAAATAACCAGATTCAAGCGTCGATGTAGCCATTACTGTAAAAGCGTTTGTATCATTTTTATGTAGAAGCCGTATTGACTTCATTTATTCACTGACTTTCTGGTTGCATATTTGTATCTGTTATATTCATTTCTCTTCTTATTGTAGTATGCGGCACATTCTGTAAGCAATGTGCCAAAACATTCTGAAACTGACGGACTGATAATATTATGCGCTATCAAAGTTATCACAACACAAATCATTTCGGAATGTATGCTTTTCAGTAATTGCGTTATCAAGAATTTACGAAGAGAGATACTTTTGTGAAGAGGTACAACATTCCAAATCAGTTCACGATAGAAAGGGAAGAAAAACGTCCATTGAGATCCAAGTGCTCTTATTCCAGTGCGATGACATTCATTACAAAAACTCGGATGACTATTTAATAGTTTCCAGAATCTCACGATTCCTTTCATGGTTCTTATTTCCCATCAGGCATTTCGTATCCGCACTCTCTACATGTAGTCCGCGAAGTTACATTTGCAATTTTTTCTGGATCCTGAGGCTGCAACTTCCGGACTTGCTGGTGTCGACGCGGCTCGTGGTGAGAGAGCGGAAGATGCGCTAGACTGGATCCAAATTGTACTCGGCTGTGCGAGACTCAGATGTCCATGCAAAGTAATATACGGCCTCCCCAATAGATGTAACTTGTTTGCAACCTGAGCGGAACGCAACCACGGATTGTGACCCAGGTGTATTGAAAGCTGTATTTTATCTGTGGCTAAATTACCTCTCGCATGAGACGACGAGAAATAAATGCTCGAGAAATGTCAGCTTTTTTCAATCAAGGTGCATTTGAGAGGTTCGTTGGGGCTAGATTCCCGACGCTTGGAAGAAAGGGAATGGCTGTCTTGAAAAAATTATTACCTAGGCTCAAAATGTTTGCCAAACAATTGAAATGCTCTCGGAAATAAAAAGGAGTACAAAGCTGCATATTAAAGTGAAACAACTCCAAACGGTAAAAAAACTAGCACCGAATTACATTTCTACATCATTCGATGAAAGCATGTGGTTGTTTATGAAACAGAATTCATGTTAGCAATCAGTTGTCCTATTCACATTTACCGGTTCAAAGCTGTTTGGTAAAGTCATCACGGGAAATCAGAAAAGCACCAGAATATCTGTAGAGTTTTAACTTCAATCAGTGTCCAAACTGGAGCCAATTCAGATTAGACTTGAATTAGACACATTTGAAAAATAGACCAAATCAAAATTCCAGATCTTACGCAGAAATCAAGCAGCTGAATACACCTTGTGCAAATTCCTATTTTGAACATTCGAAATATTTAGCATGAAAAATGGCAACTGCATGTGGATGCACACAATTTTGGCGTACTGAAAAAGCATATGAAGTGTATCTGAAACGCTCGATGGTGGCGGCAAAAGACCGTAAAAACATGTCAAATGAACGCAAGTTTGGTGAAAACATACTAAAGTAATTGTTTCCTAGTGAGCAATTGGCACTCGCTTCCCTAATGCAGCTGCACCAGTGGCAACCTCCAAAACAACGCACTAGAACATATGTGATTTGCTTTGCGGTTACTCAGGTAACCGAAAACATTAATGTGGCAAACAAACAACCAAATCAGTGTGGTCATCTGTTTCGGTCATTTGTATGGTACATGTAACTATCCTTTTTCTCTCTAACAATATTTAGTCATGAACATCAATGATCAATTTACAAACAGGTTAAAACCCCTTTGAGATCTCACGGTGTCCTCCTTTTTGTGTAATAATTTGTTGGAGGCTCTTTGCCTGCACATCCCCCCCCCCCCCGGGAAAAACCATACAATCAACTTATGTGTAATCGCTCATTAGTAGTTTTCATCATCAGCAGACTATTTTACAGCTAATGTTAACCTATTCCATTGGGTGAATAACCTTGAATTTTGGCATTACATAACAAACTATATTAAACCCAAGGAACTTGAGAACATTACCGAGGTCGATTACCTGTTCGAACGAATAAAGCATAATCAAAACGTAATTGACGGGTTTATATGAAGTTTCACTCCTTTACATTTGTGAATCGCTACTCCGGGCACTGGAAGTTCGCAATGCTTCTGTTTTCACCACTGAGAATTTCTAACCTGGTATTCTTAGACTGGACGTTCCGGCTGGAATTGCTCTACTTCACACAGTTTATTCTCAATAAATCATTAAACTGGACTAGATACGGTGCTCCTACTCTCTGATTCGGATAATAGTAAATATTTTACAATATGTTTAAAACTGTTAAGATTAACAAGCTACCCACGTATAGATCTGGATCTATTGCGACAGCCCCTATGTTTCCATTATTTGTTGTTACTACACAATTCTTTCAACCCAGCGTAAAATTTAAGGCCAGTAAGGTGAAAAAGAATCCACTCTCATCGAATGACTACGAGGACTTTTCAAGTGAATAATAATAATAATAATAACCAGCACAAGCAAAGCTTCTGTAGAATTGCATTTTTCCAAGCGGCAGTTTCAACTACTTTGGCGATCTCAGATTTGCGACAAGGTTCACTGAAACGTGAATACGATAAAACACCTTGAATCATTGGTGGAATAATCGTATGCTACCGATACATCTGCATAGAAAGACGAATAAGTCTACTTACGACAAAGGGTGAGAGCTTTTATGAACCGTAGAAGATATAAAAAGTGACAAACTTGCGTCACATACTCCCTGGCAATATTTTTCAGCCCAACAAAGAACAAACTTTATAGCAAAGATATTATGTTGGTTTTACGTACAGTGAATAAGTTTAATAATCGGCTAGCTACACTGATTAAATTGGCTAATTATGGCATGATTGTGAATTCAAAACAGATTTAAATTTAAAAATTAGGAGCATAGTATAACTTGTTGCAATAAAAAACAAAGAACAGTTCTTTCTTCTTGAGATATGTGTTCTTCTATTACGCTAAGAGAAGAGCTTGAAAACTCTTATTATTAGAAAGAGCTTTACACAACGGCCACTCGAAAGACTCCAGCCTCGTACTTATGCTGTCTATCTTGTGAACGTTTTTAATACTCACATTTGTGTGGTAAACAGAAGACGAAGTAGACCCCATAGTCACGAA